GTCAGAAGGGACCATTCCCTGGAGAAGGATGTCATGCTTGGTAGGGTGGAGGATCGACGAAAGAGGGGGAGGCCTTCAACGAGATGGATTGACAGGGTGGCTGAGATGATGGGCTCAAGTATAGCAGGGATTGTGTTTCATTCTGCTGTGCATGGGGTCGCTATGAGTCGGAAACAACTCGCCGGCACTTAACAGCAACAATGTTGTTGTTGTTTTTAGTTGCTGTCATCTCCAACTTATAGTGACCCTGTGCACAGCAGAACGAAACACCACTGGTCCTGAGTTAGCTCCATGATTCTTGCTATACTTGAGCCCACTGCTGCTGCCATTGTGTCAGTCCATCTCATTCAGGGCCCTCCCCTCTTTCGTCAACCCTTTTCCTACCAAGCATGACATCCTTTTCTTTATTAAGGCCAAGAACTGAAGTAAATGGATAAGGGTCTTGGAGGCTGTTTTTCACTTGTGTGTGGCTCTATATTTAGGCAGGGGCCTGAGGTAGGCAGGCCAGAGCTTGGAGGCTGCTTTTCACTTGGGTGTGGCTCTATATTAAGGCCAGGACCTGAGGTAGGCAGCCCTTGGGCTTGGAGGCTGCTTTTTGCTTGGGTGTGGCTCTATATTAAGGTAGGCAGGTGCAGAGGGTTTAGGAACAAATAAGGGAGATGAACTTGTCTGTCACTTTGTCATCCTGTGGTAGCTTACATGTTGCTGTGAGGCTTGAAGCTATGCCACCACGTTGCAAAATGCCAGCACCGTTATCCACAGTAGAGAGGTTTCAGTGAAGCTTCTGAGGTTAGACAGATTCGGAAGAAGGAAGAAGCTATCCATTTGTCAAAGAATTGGCCAGTGAAAACCTTATGAATAGCAGTGAAACACTGCCTGATATATTACTGGAAAACTTTATGAACAGCCCCAAAACATTGTCTGAAATAGTGACAGAGGATGAACCCATCAGTTTGGAAGGCACTCAAAATTTGACTGTAAGAGCTGACTCCTCAGAGTAGAGATGACCTTAACAATATGGATAGAGTAAATCTTTTGGGACCTCCATTGGCTGCTGTGGCACGACTCAAAAAGACTAGAAACAGATGTGTAAACATCCATTAATGGGAACACGAAATGTATGAAGTATGAACTAGGAAAATTGGAAGTTGTAAAAAAAGGAAGAGAATGCATAAAGATCAATATCCTAGGCATTGAAAGGCTGAAATGGACTGGTTTTGGCCATTTTGAATCAGACAACCATACGATCTACTATGCCAGGAATGACAAATTGAAGAGGAATGGTGTGGCATTCATTGCCACAAAGAGTGTTTCAAGATCTGCCCTGAAGTACAACACTGTCAGTGATAGGATAATATCCATATGCCTACAAGGAAGACCAGTTAATACTACTCTTACCCAAATTTACACACCAAATAAGAGTTTGTTTTTTGGTTTGGTCGGTCCATCCAATAAATAGCTTTACAGTGGATGGAGAAAAGATTGAAGTTGCTGAGGTTTTCATATTACTTGGCTCTACAATCAACACCAGTGGAAGCAGCAGTCAAGACATCAGACGACATACTGCATTGGGCAAATCTGCTGCAAAGGATGTCTTTCAAGTGATGAAAAGCAAGGACATCTCCTTGAAGACTAAGGTGTACCTAACCCAAGCCATGGTATTTTCAGTCGCCTCTTATGCATGTGAGAGCTGAACAATGATAGAAAGACTGATGCTTTTGAGTTGTGGTGCTGGAGAAGAATGCTAAGAGTACCATGGTCTGCTAAAAGGATTAACAAATCTGTCCTGGAGGAAGTGCAGCCTGAATGCTTCTTGGAAGTGAGAATGGCTAGACTTCGTCTCACCTACATTGGTCATGTTGTCAGAAGGAACCATTCTCTGGAAAAGGATATCATACCTGGTAAAGTGGGGGGTCAATGAAGAAGGGAAAGGTCCTCAATAAGATGGATAGACACAGTGGCTGCAGTGATGGGCTCAGGTATAGCAAGGATCATGAGGCTGGCACAGGACCGGGCAGTGTTCTGCTGTGCATGGGGTCTCTGTGAGTTTAAGATAACTCACCGGCACCTAACAACAACAACAGGAAAAGAGATTTTTGGAGGAAGCCTGATCTGTTTTCTTGAAATGATTGGCACTGGTTTTTCTGAAGAAGGAAGAAGGAAGGTTATGAAACTAATATAAAATTATTTTAACTTTTTAAAAAGTTTCAAACCAATAAATGGATCACTGCTAGCTCTGGCGGTACAGTGCCTAGGTTGTACGCTGCCTAAGGCATCTGACTACTAACCAGAAGGTTGGTGGTTCAAACCTACCAACCACTGCATGGAAGGAAGATGGGGCAGTCTACTTCCGTAAATATTTACTGCCTTGGAAACCCAATGGGGGCTGCTATGAGTCAGAATTGATTGATGGCAGTGGGTTTGGTTCTTTGGTTTTATTGATAGGAATATAGATGATTAAGTATTGTCATTTATCTGATGTGATAATGACCTACCAAAGTAGGAAAAAGGAACAAAACACAATTTGTAACGTCACATATAGTGTGCATTCTATATGGGTATCATGACTGAATCAATCAAATGATACATGTAATCTGAGGTTAAAAGCCGTAATATTTCTTTACCCCCTTGAAAACAGTATACCATAGTGACACAGTGATGAAATGGTCAGCTACTAACTAACAGGTGGTGGTTCAAACCCATCAGCCATTCCACAGGAGAAAGATGAGACAATCTGTTTCTGTAAGGATTACAGCCTTGAAAACCCTATGGAGAAGTTCTGCTCTATCCTACAGGGTCTCTGAGTCAGCATCAACTAGACAGCAATGGGAGACAGATAGATATTATATTGTTAGATAGTATCAGGATAAGTGTGCTTCATATAACTCATAATCATGTTTCGTTCCTAAGTATGATTGTTAATGCTTTAACCAATCTACCTCTTTCTCAAAATAGCAGCCATCTTGTTTAGGAATGTATTTTGTTGGTTAATGGATTATCCTCTGGGAAGTATTATTTTAAAAAAAAAAACTCAGATATTGTTCAGAATCTTCATCTTCATCTATCCTGAGGTCTGATTCACACTGACATGCAGAAAGAAGTGAAGGAAAAAATGTTGAAATCTGAACATTTTAAGTCACTGACTTTTCTTCTTCAGATGAGCATTTATTAGAAATCTCCTTTATGTTATATATTAAAAAAAGTGGCACAGTAGTGGCAGTGTGGGGTGTAGGGAGTTTGACCCACTGCTGTGTGGGTAAGGGCAGGGGTTGCCGCCCCACTAGTCACTGGGAGATGGTGCAAAATAAGGTGGAAGATCCCATCTCTCGGGTTGCTGATCACTGATGTGGGTGCTGGTACAGTTTAGGGTGAGCGAAGCTGGTGGTTTGGTTCCTACTTGTAATAATTCAAAATGGCTGTACTGTGCTGTCCCAGTTGGCATATCATTCCATATGCCTTCTTGTTTGCTGTTTTCATTCAGTCTCTTCTTCTAATCAGTATTTAATCTACTTCTTTATCCTTTCAAGTTCTGGGTTTCAGGATTGTCATCCATAGTTATTTCACTTGGTTTCTGAAGTTTTTGTTGTAAAAGGTCTGGATAGTGTATCTGCCTAGTCTGCCATCTTAGATCCTCCAAGATTTTAAAAAATCCAGCTCCTAATGGAGTGTGTGAACCAGCCCAGAGGTCAGCACACTTTTGCTATACAGGGCCAGACGGTAAATGGTGTGCTTTTCAAGCCATGTAGGGTCTCTGTCATACAGCCTGTGTGTGTGTGTGTGTGTGTGTGCTTTCCCAAGCATTTAAAAATGAGAAAACCTTGTTAGCTTGATGACAGTTCAAATACAGGAGGTGGGTGGGCGTTTGGCCTATGGGAGTAGTTTGCCATGACCTGTGGCCTAGCCTATTGAAAATCTTTGAAAGCTCTCAGTAAATCATTGCAACTAAATCCACTGTGTAGTCACATTTTGTAGGTAATAAAAGAAATCTTTTTTGTTAAGCGATTTTTATACTTGAACCCTTTTTCTCCTTAGAGAAAAACTGTAAAACTGCCATTTTAGATTATAGTGCTGCAGATTACCACCAAAGGCAAAATTAATACTAGCAAAAAAGCCATATGATGAAAGACCCAATTTACAGTCTTTTTTACCTTTGAAGATGGACTTAGGTAACCTTTTTTATCATTGATTTCTTTCAGCTGACCTCAAGAGAATTTGCAAGACAATTGTTGAGGCACCAAGTGATGAGGAGCGGCTGAAGGCATTTGCTCCCATTCAGGAAATGATGACTTTTGTGCAGTTTGCCAATGATGAGTGTGATTATGGCATGGGGCTTGAGTTAGGAATGGACCTCTTTTGCTATGGTTCACACGTGAGTAAAAAAATATCTCCACCTCTCAGTCACCATCAACCCCCTCCCCTGCCCCCACAACACACATCCACGCTCAAGCATGTCTGTTTGTATCCCCAAGTTCAAGCATAAGTAGTATATGAATGCAGCTTATATTTCAGAATGAACTTTTTAAAGTGATTTAAACAGCTGTTTTAAGAACATATTTTATTTGAAATTCATTTTGTTTTCCTGCAAAAGTGAGAAACCAAGATTATTTGCCTTTAGGTTTACATAAAAGTGGTAGGGATGTGCCCTTTGGTTTTATGTTTGAGTGTGGATATTCATCTGCATATGTACATACGCCTTTCCTCTGGCACCATTTCTTTTTCCTTTATAGTGGGAAACTTGTTATTGTGTTTGAATCTTAGATGAAGAACAAATACTATTTTAAATATGCTTTACATTACTAAAAATGATCATTTTATTCTTGTTTGCTCATTAAATAGGAAAATTTTTACTATTTAATTGGTGTTTGATAGCAGGGATCGTTCAGTGGTAGAAATCTTGCCTTCCATTCAGGACACCAGGGTTAGATTCCTGGCCAGCACCTGTCATGTGCAGCCACCACCCGTCTGTCCATGGAGGCTTGTATGTTGCTGTGATGCTGAACAGGTTTCACTGGAGTGTCCAGGCTAAGACAGACTAGGAAGAAAGGCCTGTGGATCTACTTCCAAAAATCAGCAATGAAAACCCTGTGGACCACAGTGATCCTATCTCTTTATGCAGCAAAAACAACAGCAAATCAGTGTTTCCTCAACTGCAGTTGCCTCAAGATCAGAGAGGTAGGAAGGTATAATGGCTGTAACATGCCTCTGGGGCTACAATGCTTTGTGTTAACAGTGTGAGATAGGGCAGTTTTTTCCAACACCTTTGTATCTGTTTCCTTATTGTAAAATATATCCTTTGCACATGCTCACAAATATACCCATACTATTTAATTCTCATTTTACCTATGACACAACCGAGGAGAGAGGTAAAGCATCTTGCTCAAGTTGACACACAGGCTCTCTGGTTCCACAGTTAGTGTCTAAACCAGTAATTCTGAAATTTTAAAGAGCACATGAATCACCTGGAGGTACTGTTAAGATGCAGACCCTTTCAACAGGCTGGGGTGGGGCCTAGGACTCTGCATTTCTTATTTCCTGTGATAGTAATGCTGCTGTCTTATAGACAGACCACTTTGAGTAGCAAGACTAAACCAATGGCTCTCTAACTTTAGTGGGCATCAGTTTCACCTGGAGAGCTTGCTGAACCACACATTGCTCTGCCTCACCTCCAGAGTCTGATTCAGGCCTGGAGTGGGGCCTGCAAATTTAATTTCTAAAACATTCCCAGGTGAGAGCCTCTTGCTCTGTCTCTTCCTTCCCATTACTCTCTTCCCTCTTCCTCTCCTTTTCTCTACTTCTTTCTTTTCCTGCCCTTTTTTCTTTCTCTTCCTCTCCTCTCTCCTTTTTCCTCTCTTCCTGTTTTTCTTCTATTTTCTCATATATTCACCTGCTCCCTCTTCTCTTTCATTGCCAACTGGTAAGTCATACCCAACATAATCATGATTATCTATTTTAACGAGAAAAACTTAAGACTCACTGGATTCCTACCTCAAAGAAAATTTCTAAGCTTTCAGAAAAACTTTTCACTCGAAGATAAAGGACAATTTACTAACAGCAAAAGAGGAATTGATGCTGTTTTTAGCTGCACTTCCTAAAGTTGCAGAGAGTTAGTTAAAAATATTAAAATTCCCAGACCCTCCCAGGTAAGGTTGATGCCATGGGTCTGGCGACAATTTGAGAACCTTGCTTTAAACCCTATTATACTTTTTTTAGGAGCTCTGGTAGCATAGTGCCTAAGGCACTTGACTGCTAACCAGAAGGCTGGCGGTTCAAACCCACCAGCCACTCCTCGGAAGGAAGGCTGGGCAATCTACTTCCATAGTGATACCCAAGGAGGGCTCACTGAGTTGGAACCAACTCGACGGCACATAACAACGGCAACATACTTTTTTTGCTTATCTTATATATGGTTATTGTCAGTAAAAATAATCAAAATATTAAATAGCCAGTATGACAGCCATACTGTAAGGACCCAGCTATAAATACGTAGAGCCACACAGTGTGAACCAGCTGAGTAGCAAACTTGATTGTTGTGAGGGTTAAATGAGATAAAGTATAAGAATGTATTAAAAAGGTTTAGCACAGTACTTCCCAAATAGTTCTATACTAAATAAATATTATTACCAACAAAATACAGTATTGCCAGTTAATAGCAGTAGTCTAAATTGCTTGATAAATAAACCTAAGGCATTGGCTGGTAACAGGGACAGGGATTATGGAGAGAGAGAGAGAGAGAGAGAGAAAGATGAAATTTGGGAAGAAAGGGGAATATGATTTGAAAACTCAGTCAGCATTGTGACAATATCAATAAGGACAATAAAGTTTAAAATCGTAATTGGTGGGGATAATGAAGTGAAGGAAAAAGCATTTGAGGGCATAATTTAGGGGCAAACAAGATTGATTTTGATAAATCGTGTTTCAGGGAAGCTTAATATTTAACTTTGTTTTCTTCTAAATTGTCTTCAAAATATGCCAGTAGTCTTGCAGCAGTATAAGACTGCCTCTTGGACAGGATGTCAGGTGACTATCCCCAGATTCACCGTTCCTAGTCAAGAGAGAGTAGCAAAAGGGATTTTAGAAGTAGGCTTGTTAAATAAGTGCTTTTGCAAGGTATTTTTCTGCTGCTGACTAGGCATTTACTGTTTTCTCTGCTTACTGTTACATTCTTCTGTTTTTCAGTATTTTCATAAAGTTGCTGGCCAGCTTTTACCTCTTGCATATAACCTGTTGAAGAGAAATCTGTTTGCAGAAATTATTGAAGATCATCTGGCAAACAGAAGTAAAGAAAGTATAGACCAACTTGCAGCATGAGTAAGAGATGGCTTTGGTGTATATTTTAAAGTTTGTTTTTTTTTTAATGTGCAAATAAATGGCTATTATATCATCCAAATGATGAGACCCTAATCACATTTTGGAAAACAACTAGTCATGTCAGGGAAAGTTGCTGCCTAATACCAGTGGCTAACCAGAGTGTCCTCTCCTCCCCAGGAGCCCTGCTTCAGTATTTAATATATGGGCAAGTAATCATTTCTTGCCTCTGAAAACTCACTGCCATTAAATCGGATCTGACTCATAGACCCCTCCTTGGGTTTCCAAGACGGTATCTCTATGGAAGTAGATTGCCCATCCTTTCTTCTGAGAAGTAGCTAGCTGGTAGGTTTGAACCGCCAGCCTTCTGGTTAGCAGTATCCTCTCCTCCCCGGGAGCCCTGCTTCAGTATTTACTATATGGGCAAGTAATCACTACGTCACCAGAACTCCCTTGCCTCTGAGTCTTGAGTTCATAGTAACTTCAGCTTTAAGGACTGGGTAGGCAAGTAGCACTCAAGGGAAGTACACCTAGAAGGAAACTGATACCAGACGCTGTATCTAGCAGTCTCCCAGAGCGCCTCACCCCACCCCATCAGAACTGCATTTTAGCAGTTTAGCAGTATTCTCTGGTGATTCATATGTACTCTTGTAACAGTCATTATCCCATCAGACATAGTCTTTAAAAATTTTCTCCTTTGACTCAGTCTTTATTTACTAATCACCACAGAATAGTATCTTGATATAGTATTAGCACTGATATAATATTAATATACTTTTAGTCTACTACAGTATACTACTAACCAGTATACGACTTTTTTTGGATGTTAAAGTTTTCCACTGCAAATTATTTCACTGAATTTCAAGTTCAAATCTGTGGACGTTTGTGTTTTCCCAAGTTTCAGTCTTCTTTAACCTAGGAGTTAAAATTTACTTCAGCTTAAAAACAGAAAGCAAACTACAAAATAACAAACTTTGTGCTAAGGAGCCTGTAAGCTTTTTCCCCTACAGCAGAAAAGCCCTCAAGTCATCTAGTTTAACCTCCACATTTTGTAGAAGATTGACTTTGTGTACCCAAAGAACTTTTGTTGAACAGCCAGTAGTTTTCCAGACTTTTTACTGTGTCAGTTGTCTCTTTAAAGCAGATTTGAGGTATTCTTTACAAAGAAGAGAGAGATGGATTGAATGGATGGATGGATGGATGGATGGGAGGGGCAAGGAAGAGAAGAAGGGACAGGAAGGACAGATGAATGGGTGGTAGTAGGTTTTTTTTGTAAAGTGCAGATAGCAGCAGGGCTCATTGTGGAGCTCATATATATGGTATGAGTACACTGTTACAATGAAATACTTATAGTTAGGATTTTACTATGACTACATCTTCTCTTCCCAGTTAAGCTGTAAGCTTTTTAAGGGCATGTATTTTATGGATATGAGCTCCCTCAGTAACACAGACCTCTGAGTGTGTATGCAAGTGTTTGTTGAATAAAATTACCATATCCTATGACCCTGTTGTTGTTATGTGCCGTCAAGTCTTCCCCGACTCATAGGGACCCCTCCTTGGGTTTCCGAGGCAGTATCACTACGGAAGTAGATTGACCCATCTTCCTTCCGAGGAGTGGCTGGTGGGTTTGAACCACCAGCTTCTGGTTAGCAGTCAAGTGCCTTAGGCACTACGCTACCAGAGCCCTAAGTACCAGAAACAAACAAACTAGTAAGAGTTGAGAAATTATTTTGATGAGTTAGGGATTCTTGACTTTTCAGACAAGAGTATCATCTGGGATCACTAATCCTCTCTGCTGTAGCCTAAACGTATCTGTTCCCCTTCTGCCTCTTCTGGCCCATTCTGCTTTTGTGGGCAGATTCTTTTCACAAAGGGGCATATTTTTGTGTAATATCTTAAAACAAAACTGAAAAAGATCTTTTGAGTTCTGATGATGGGGAGGTCAGAGGTTTTAAGGAGCTGCCATATTTCAGTTATATAAACAGCTACAGATTCTGCATTCATCTGAACTATTGTTTTATACTAAAATGTTACAGTAATAATTGCCTCATCCATCTTTTGATTAAAAACAGTGACCAGATCACATTGGTCTTAAATAATCTAATATTTTAGAAGCTCTTGTGCTTTTTTCCTCAGACTCTTCAGTTTCTAAGGTATCACTTACCTATTTCTAAATACTGTCCCCAAAACATATATCCTTTAAAGATTAACCATCCAAAGAAACTCAAGTATCTTTCATGAAACTGAGGTTTGCTTAGCTAGAAATACTAGATTCATTTAATTTTGCCACTTGATAATCCATGAGTTCCAAAATACATGCAGCTTGTAAGATATTTTTATGTGCCTTCTTGTAATAATTAATATGGATTCCTGTTCTTCTCAAGGAACAAAGAGGACAAAAAGAGTCAGCTTTTCATCCCTTCCTTATACAAACCTAAACACAAATGGGTACCTTCAGAAAACAGTCTATCAGAGCAAGACAGAAACTGGAGACAAATGCCAAGAATGTGACAGTTATAATCTGGATACTGTAGTAGTGAATAGGGGCTTTCTGAAGACAAGCCTTATTACGTAACATTAAAAAAAAAATTTCAGTCTCAAAGTTCAACTAGTGTTAGAGAGCTGTTAACATTACTAATTACTGGGCATTTTTCATTAAAGATTATTCCAAGGTCCTATGCTAGGGAGCTTTGGTGGCATAATGCCTAAGGCATTTATCTTTAATAAACATAAATAATAATGTAATTTTCACTATTTTTACAGTGCCTAAGGTATCTGACTGCTAACCAGAAGGCTGGCGGTTCAAACCCACCAGCCACTCTTTGGAAGGCAGATTAGGCAGTCTACTTCCATAGAGCTACTGCCTTGGAAAGAAACCCAAGGAGGGGTTGCTATGAATCAGAACCAACTGAATGGTATTGAGTTTGGTTTTGGTTTTTTATGCTACAATACCAAACCTTCCCTTCTTACCCTTCTCTTCACTAAAGGCATTCTTTTTAAACTTAGTTTAGCAAGTATTTTTGTCTACTTTTGATCTGGCCACTCCATCTAGGCTCTTACATGAATGAAGCATTTTGACCCAATTAGGATTTAACAAAAAAACCATTAGCCAACTCAAATTTAGCTAAGCTCACCACTTGAAGATCAAAGCTTTTCTATATAACCTTTCAAAAATGTATGTAAAATAATACACCCTAAGAAAAAGGAAAGCTGTAAAACTTTATCCAGGAGATAGAACCCACTTCTCAGTAATGACCTAAGACCCACATTTACTGGCTTTAATGTCATTCTGTTTAAAGTACTCCTGTTATGATTTTTATTAATTTCAATATCTATCTAAATAATCCTTCCAGTACTTCCTTACTTAATTCTTTTCCAGTGATCTAGTCCGTTGCTTGTTTTTGTAAGTATTTATGGGAGCACAGCCAGCAGTTGTGGCAAAGGTTGTATAGCCCACAAAACTTGAAATATACATCTGCTGTTGACAAACAGTCTGCTGACCCCTCATCTAGACACTATCCTACTTCAGCCCCCAACTCCCCAGGACAGACCAATGAAAATCCTCATCATAACATCATAACATCATAATACATCTATGATACTTCATCTAGCACCCCAACCCAGTAATTCTTCAACCCCACCATATCCTACAAATCAGTGATCATTTTTACTATTCAGCTACTTTATATTCTTGCTTCCTTCTTCATCCAGCCCTTAGATTCTGTTCTCCATTATTTATAATCACTTCCATGTACTTAACTCCATTGCCTTTCTCTTTGTGTGTGTACTTATCAGTTATAACCTTAAGCCTGATGGAAAAAACCTTTCTTAAATCTGCTCAGTAATAAGTGGCTGGAGAAAAAAATACAGCCATGGAGACCAGTGTCATTTAACCTCAAGTTGGCTATGCTCCTGCCTATTGATCCTACTAGTTTCTTATCTTTCTGCAGACCTCCTCCCCCATCCTGTTTATTTCACTGAGAAAATAGAAACATTCAAAGTAATTTCCACAAAATTTCACATCTATCAACTACGCACTTTACTCTGCCTTTCTCCATTTTGATGAATGTTGCTTAACGTCCCACAAGTTGACCTAGACCCAGTCCCCTCTTGCCTACACAAGGACAGTGCTCTCTCTCGGGTCACCAGTTTCCTCTCTTGAGAATTCTCATCACTAACAATAACAAAAAGGCTATAATATTCTACATCTTAAAATAAAAACCTTGAACCCATATTCCTTTTCCAGAAAGCCTATAGAATAATTGTCTATGCTAATTATTTCCAATTCCTCTCCTTCTAATATATCTTGAACCCACTTCAGTCAGGGTTTTTTATGCCACCATTCCACTGAACCTGTTCTGATCAAAGATATCAGTTATCTCCACATTAGCCAATTTCCAGTTCTCACTTCATCTATCAACAACATCTAACATGAAAGTATTACTCACCTGGTTTAGGGGCCTACCCTACCCTTAATGGCTACCTCACTGCTGCTCCCTGTGCCCCTTGCTGACTCATTGCCCCAAATCTAAACGTAAATATGCATCAGTGCTCAGTCCTTGTCCCTCTTCTCTGTCTACACTTACGGTAATCAATCCCATAATGATCTCATCTTGAATGATCACCGCCTGTGTTTAATCTCTCCAGCTGGACCTTTTGCCTAAATTCCAGTTCAAATATAAAGCTGCCTGACACCTCCACTTGGATGCTCTTTAAAGGAATTTAAAACTTAATGTCTTAAACCTATATTCTTCTGTATACTACCTCCCACGCCCCAACCAAATCTATTCCTAAAGTCTTCCCCAACTCGATGGCCATTGTAGTTATTCAGGTCAAAAACCTTGGTGTCATCTTTGACTCCTCTCTTATCACACCCCACATTAGTAAATCCTGTCTACTCCACCTTTAAAATGTCTAGACTCTACCAATTTCAGCCGGGTTCAAGCCTCTATCTTATTTCACCTGGATTATTCCAAGAGCCTTCTAATTGGTCTTCCTGCTTCCATTTCTGTCTATAGAAACCTTGTAGTGTTT